CACCAGTGTTTATTGCAATTCCCTTCCTCCTCTTCCCTGGGAGTTCCCAATGTCACGGCCGTCCCCGGGTGGCTTTATGAGACTTCCCAAGCTTCAGATCCCGGCCGTGGCACTTAGGCTGCAAAAGGGGTGCCCATAGAAACAAGCCCAAAATAAGAGGGGGGAGCCTACTCTCCAAGGGGGTCTCAGCTGGGGGAGGGGGTGGGGTCCTCCACAGTCCTTTACCTGTTCATCACCTGACAGGCCAGGATGAGCCAAGTCAGCAGTTCATTTGGGACCCAAAAGCAGCTGACTAGGGGTGTGCAAAAATATAATTCGGCCCGATTTGGTTCGGCCGAATCGCTGGCCAAATGACCCCCGAATGCCACATTTGGCAATTAAAGCCGATTTGAGACTCCTTCAGCCAGCCAAATCAGATTCAGCCAGGGGCGCCCGGGCAAGCCAAGGGTGCCTTCCCTCCAAGGGGGGGCTTGCCTGGGCTCCTCTGCGGCGCAACTAGAGGTTTAAAGATTAAATCCCCCCCCCAGTTGCGTCGCAGGGGCAGCATGCTCCCTTCATTGAAGGGAAGGCGAGCAGGGGAAGGCTCCCAGAGGGGGCCCCCCCAGCCTTTCCTGGCCCGCTCACCGAGGCGGGCGAGCCAGGAAGGGCCCAGGAGGGAGCGAGGAGACATTTAAATGTCTCCCCATGGCTTCTCCAGGCCGCCCACTTTAGCGGGTGACCTGGAGAAGGCTCCCATAGCCCCCCCATCATTCCTGGCTTGCCGCCAAGGTGGGTAAGCCAGAGAGGGAGGGGGGAGGCATTTAAATGCCTCCCCATACTTTACCCGGGGGGAGGCAGGGCCACTTTTCGGGCAGCGGGTGAAATGCCACCGAATTTCAGCGGTGGCTTTCGGCCTGTGGCTGCCCGAAAGCTGACCTCTTTCTCTTCTCAAGTGGCTACTTGTAAGGCTACAGGAGGACCTGGGGAGAAGAATTCCCAACCAGGAGGTTTTGAGCTACTTTGACAAAACAAGGTGAACCAGGTCAGCCTTTCTAGCCACAGTCCTCAGATTTTTTCTTCTTCATAGTCAACCAGGCTTACTATTTCATCAGCACACGTTCTGCTTTATAGACAACCCTAAGCAAAAACGGCCGGTCCTTCGCCAGTCTAAACGATGCCAGCAAGGAAAACAACGGAGCATGGGAGAGGAGGAACAAATTAGACTCGGAGTGGCCAGTCAGATGCTGTCCTGCTCCCGGAGCGCGGATTTAGCGATCCGCACAGACGGGGCCACTTGGCTATTAGATATATAGATGAACCGAATGCACATCCCTACAGCTGACCTCTTTCTCTTCTCGAGTGGCTACTTGTAAGGCTACAGGAGGGCCTAGGGAGAAGAATTCCCAACCAGGAGGTTTTGAGCTACTTTGACAAAACAAGGTGAACCAGGTCAGCCTTTCTAGCCACAGTCCTCAGATTTTTTCTTCTTCATAGTCAACCAGGCTTACTATTTCATCAGCACACGTTCTGCTTTATAGACAACCCTAAGCAAAAACGGCCGGTCCTTCGCCAGTCTAAACGATGCCAGCAAGGAAAACAACGGAGCATGGGAGAGGAGGAACAAATTAGACTCGGAGTGGCCAGTCAGATGCTGTCCTGCTCTGTCCCTCCCCCAGCAACCATAGGCATACTGCCTCTGAACATGGAGGTTCCATTTAGCTATCTTGGCTAGATCTCTTAGCTGCCGTCTTCCATGACTATACGTAACACTTTTTGTAAGACCCTCTGAGTCAGCTTGCTGAAGCCATGGGTCTGTGTTCTGAGTAGATGGTGGGAAAGCAAAGGACTAATGGAAGTCGCACCTCCTTTCACGTCACAGGCAGTGACAGTGTAGCAGATTGCACAGAGGTCGGGCTGCCGGGCCTACTGTTAGCTTCTACTTCTTGGACTTAATTTCATCAAAAAACGGTTAAGGACAAGGCAGTGATCAGGGCCATAGCGAGTGCGGGGCGTAGGGGGCAATGCCCCCTCCTGGTTTTCCAGTGCCCCTCCACTAGTGTTCCCTCTAAGCTCAGTTAGTGTGAGCTAGCTCACAGTTTTTTAGCCTCTGGCTCATACATTTTTGTCTCAGCTCGGGAAGGATGGGGCTCCAGAGCAAACTAATTTATGCAGTGGCCAAATCGCTCACTCACAGCTTTAATTCCAGTAGCTCACCAAGTAGAATTTTTGCTCACAACACAGCTTAGAGGGAGCATTGCCCCCCCACCGAAAGAGCCGGCCCTGGGAGAGAGGTGGCAGGCCGAGCAGGCAAGACTGGGGTGCAGGGTTGGGGGGGGCTTTCAGAGCTTTCCTTTCCCTGCTGCCAGTGGGCAGCGACAGTCGCCAGTGGGGGACCTGGTTGCTCGGGAGCAGGTGGCTGGCCTGTGGGCGGTCTCTCCCCACAACCCGCTGGCCCTTCCGTGTGCCCTGCTGGGTGACGCTGGGCTGACTCCCTGATTTGTGATATTAAGAAGATACCCAGAGAGACTGTTGTGGCTGGGCCCTGCGGTGGCGGTGGCCTCTCTCTCTGTGTGTCTCTCTCTGTCTCTCTCTCTGTGTCTGTGTGTGTGTGTGTCTCTCTGTGTGTGTGTGTGTGTGTCTCTCTCTGTCTGTCTGTCTCTCTCTGTCTCTGTCTGTCTGTCTCTCTGTCTCTCTCTCTCTGTCTGTCTCTCTCTCTGTCTTTCTCTGTCTGTCTGTCTCTCTCTCTGTCTCTCTCTGTCTGTGTGTCTTTCTCTCTTTGTCTCTGTCTGTCTGTCTCGCGCTCTCTCTCTCTCTGTCTGTCTCTCTCTCTGTCTTTCTCTGTCTGTCTTTGTCTCTCTCTCTGTCTGTCTGTCTCTCTCTCTGTCTCTCTCTGTCTGTGTGTCTTTCTCTCTTTGTCTCTGTCTGTCTGTCTCGCGCTCTCTCTCTCTCTGTCTGTCTCTCTCTCTGTCTTTCTCTGTCTGTCTTTGTCTCTCTCTCTGTCTGTCTGTCTCTCTCTCTGTCTCTCTCTGTCTGTGTGTCTTTCTCTCTTTGTCTCTGTCTGTCTGTCTCGCGCTCTCTCTCTCTCTGTCTGTCTCTCTCTCTGTCTTTCTCTGTCTGTCTTTGTCTCTCTCTCTGTCTGTCTGTCTCTCTCTCTGTCTCTCTCTGTCTGTGTGTCTTTCTCTCTTTGTCTCTGTCTGTCTGTCTCTCTGTCTGTCTCTCTCTCTCTCTTTGTCTCTGTCTGTCTCTCTCTCTGTCTGTCTCTGTCTCTCTTTCTCTCTCTCTGTCTCTCTGTCTGTCTCTTTCTGTCTCTCTCTCTGTCTCTCTGTCTGTCTCTTTCTGTCTCTCTCTCTGTCTCTCTCTCTGTCTCTCTCTCTGTCTGTCTCTCTCTTTCTGTCTGTCTCTGTCTGTCTGTGTCTGTCTGTCTGTCTCTCTCTGTCTGTCTCTGTCTCTCTTTCTCTCTCTGTCTCTGTCTGTCTTTGTCTCTCTCTCTCTCTCCCCTCATCATATTATTTTGTGCCACCAGAAGTGACGTCATGCGCCCCAGTGCCCCCTCCCACACATCTGAAATCGCCTCGCTGCAGGTCTGGCAAGGGTCCTTCTCATATCTCTGCAGCATTATGGCTTTCTTCCAAAATGTTCCCTAATATGTCTCTCTTTGGCTCAACGTGTAGCTGACCAAGAAGAAGAAGCCCACCCCGAATTCAAATTTGGAAGCGAGCTGTCTGCCGATGACCTGAGCCAAAAAGAATCCGTGGCCAACAACATGAAGAAGGTAGGATGGCTTCTCTCTCTCTTCCCCCCCCTCGACTGTGTACGTTTTAGTTTGACGACTTCCTGTGGAGTTGGCTGGTGGGAAGAGAGGGGACGTCAGCCTGGACGGATTGTGGATAACGAAACCTGAAAAGCATTTCTTACGCAGTTGTTGACCTTTGAGATGTATGGCAGCATCTAGGGGGGAAACACATGACCCTTATTTCAGAGGGGGTTTCCCCACTATATATCAGACACTGTACATCTGTCATTCACAGGCCCTCTGCAGAAACCATCACACGGGGGAAAGACTAAAAGGCTGGGGAAGGGTGCCCTCTTCCTGTCTGGGTACAATAGACTGGCTTGGATCCCCCAAGAGCACTGGGGGGGGGGGGGGGGGTGTCTGGATTCTGGGCTGCAGCAGGAGGGTGGAGGCTGGGATCCTTCTGCCCCCCAGAAATGTACCGCAGCTTGCAGGTGCAGAAGGATGTGGCCAGAGTTGCAAAGGGACCCTCTCAAGAAATCTCGGTCTGGGGCAAGGGGTGGCTCTGTCTTCTTGGTGCTTGGGGGGAGGGGGCAACAGTGGGAGGGCTTCTGGTGTCCTCCTTGCCCCACTGCTGGACCTCCTGAGGGCACCTGGTCTTTTTGGCCACTGTGTGACAGACAGAGTGTTGGACTGGATGGGCCTTTGGCCTGATCCAACAGTGGCTTCTCTTACGTTCTTATAGGAACTCTCAGGCTGGGGCAAGGGATGCTCTGTCTTCTTGGTGCTTGGGGGGGGTCAACAGTGGGAGGTCTCCTAGTGTCCTGGCCCCACTGCTGGACCTCCCGGTGGCACCTGGTATTTTTGGCCACTGTGTGACACAGTGTTGGACTGGATGGGCCTTTGGCCTGACCCAACATTGGCTTCTCTTGCATTCTTATGTATGGGGCAGTAATGCTCTGTCTTCTTGGTGCTTGGGGGGGGGTCAACAGTGGGAGGGCTTCTAATGTCCTGGCCCCACTGCTGGACCTCCCGGTGGCCCCTGGTATTTCTGGCCCCTGTGTGACACACAGAGTGTTGGACTGGGTGGGCCTTTGGCCTGACCCAACATGGGCTTCTCTCTTATGTTCTTATTGCCCCCCTGACTTTGTGCCCCGTGCAGGCTGCGGCAGGAGGAGGCGGACAAAGCTTTTGTGTGGCTTTTTTTCTGTTTGTGTCACTGGATGTGCGTGGGGTGCGTCCCCCTGTGAGTCCAGGATAACACAGCCAACACATAATGAAAATCAAAAGAGCGTGAAGTCACATTGGAGATTTGAGGGGATAGGATAGTTTTCCTGATTGCTTCTGACCAGTTTAGCTTGCCGGTCGCCCTGACCTGGGCGGCCAGGCCGGCTCGGTCTAATCAGATCTCGGAAGCCAAGCAGGGTCGGCCCCCGTTAGGACTTGGGTGGGAGACCTCCAGGGAAGTCCAGGGTCACGATGTGGAGGCAGGGGACAGCAGAGAACCTCTGCCCATGAGAAGCCCACAAGGTTGCCCTGAGTTGGCTGTGAAGGGGCAGCACATTCAGCCACCATCAGCTTCCTGGTCTCCCCCGTCCTACCCCGTTCCCAGTCCCTGGCAGCCGCTGCATCGCCCCCCTGCTTGTCCCGGGGACACATTCAAGCCCCTGTCGCTTCCCCCGAGAACTCTGCTTCTGCCGCTGCCTCCGGCTCCTCCTCTCCCTTCTTGGCTGCCTTCTGAACTCGAGTTCAGCTGTACGAGTAGAAACCCTCCTTTCCCCAACTGCCTCCCACCCCCCTTTTATTGATTAACAAAATATACAAAATATACAATACTCTAATACACGTAATATAAAGAAAATTGAGAAGTTAAAATTGAGAACTTATTTATGATCGGAGAGAAGCAAAAGGGAAGCAACAATTATTTTTTAACTCAATGAATTCATAAACGGGCCCTAGTCCTTATTGTTGCACTTGAGATATTCTGCCGCCATGTTCCCATCCCTCTTCCTGTCTAGCTTTCCACATATTTATGACATTTTCCTCAAAGAAAGAATTGTTTTTTATTCTACACATTACATACGTCTCCCATATTTTAAAGCTTCTTCTTCTTTTTTTAAATACAGCAGAATTATGACCACGTGAACGGCAACACTTTGCTTCCTTTCTCTTCTTCTCCCTCTTTAATGTTCAAGTTGCCTCTGGCCGAGAAGGGGGATTTTCCTTGTAGCACATTGTGCCGCTTCATGCCGCCAGTGGTACACAACCCCTTGTGGTCCCGGGGTTGTTGTGACTCGAGGCGCTCCGCTCTACGTTCCTAATGGCACATTCTCCAAAGTAGTCTTTTCCCACGGTCAGCTTTAAGGACAATACTGCAAAAAAATTGCCCCGTGTATTCGACCAGGACTGCTTTTCAAGCATTCCTCCGCTCTCTTGGCTCTGTTTGTGTGTCTCAACAAGAGCGGCCGTGAAACTGCAGTACTGAGTCCCTTTCAGCACCTCGTTTTGCATCCGTCAGGATCGGTGATCTGGACACCCCCCCTTCCCCGAGTGGGTCATGACTTTGGATCTGGCTCCTCATTTTCATCTCACTTCAGCACGGAGGCCTTCCCACAGTTACCCACTATCCCCCCCCATTTGATGTTTTGCTAGTCTTTGGAAGTTAAACGGAGGCCGTGAGTGGTGACTCACGCACACCTGCCGCAGGGGAAGGTTACGTTTCAGGTACAGGCCCCAGCGCTGTTCTGCCTTGAGTGATGAGCATGTGGTGTTGCAATTCTGGAGGGCTTCTGGAGTTCTGGCCCCGCTGGTGGACTTCCTGATGGCACCTGGTGTTTTTGGCCCCTGTGTGACAGAGAGTGTTGGACTGGATGGGCCATTGGTCTGAGCCAGCATGGGCTTCTCTTGTGTTCTTAGGTCCTTAAGGTATAGATAGGAACTCTCGGTCTGGGGCAAGGGATGCTCTGTGTTCTTGGTGCTTGGGGGTGGGGGGCAACAGTGGGAGGGCTTCTAGTGTTCTGTGATGCTCTGTATTCTGGGGGGGGGGGCAACAGGGGGGGGGCTTCTAGGGACCTGGCCCCACTGCTGAACCTCCTGACGGCACCTGGTACTTTTGGCCCCTGTGTGACAGAGAGTGTTGGACTGGATGGGCCATTGGCCTGAGCCAGCATTGGCTTCTCTTATGTTCTCTTATGTTCTTAATTGTATCTCTGGGATGTAATACCTGCATTTTGTCTCCCTTAGGCGGTGGATGACCCTGAGCAAGAAAACAATAAAAAGGTGATCCTTGGAAGACGTTCCGAGTTGTCAAGTTTCATTCCTCCGCCTCCGCTTTGTAGAATGCGCCCTTTGCTCTCTGCATCGTTTGATCCTCCTTGTTATGTAGCTGTTTCTGAGGATGGTTTCTGGGGGCCGTGGGGGTCCCGGTCTTTTATCCCAGGGAGCCCATCTTGCTACCTCCTCCTCCTTCCGTGGCACAGTTGGGAGTTTGGGCTGGGCTGCAGGACTCTTCCCTCTTAGCCTACAGGCAGGCATCCAGGTTGGCAGTTCGGTGGAGAGAGACGGGGAAGACCCCCCTGGTGTCTGGCCAGCATCTTGAGGTCGCCCCTGTTTTGGATCCCCCAGATTACCGCTGAGAGACGCTTTTTGCTTCGGCCTCCTTTCCCCTCATCCCTGCTCATATTTTCCTCTCTCTTCCTGACTCCAGGCCTACTTAGTCAGTATTAGACACAGCCCAGATTTTATGGGATTTCTCCTGTTGTTTTATTATCCATGGAAGGTGCTGGGATTCCAATTTTTGCCCTTCCGGTGCCCTACAGTGGCCTGGTGTTCCGTCAAAATCATTGGTTTAGTTTATTAACAGAAGCGAAGACATTTTTTTGCCTTATTTATACCATTTCAGCAGG